AATCAGAATTATTCAACTCATTCTGTAAAATTCAGCAGGTTTTTGTGTTCACTAAAAACTGCAGCAGAGAGGAACCAACATTGCCCCTAACAACTAATCACAATCTATTTGTCACATTCCATGCAAAGATGGACCAAGGCGCCTCTGGACACATTTTAACCATGGCGGGGATTTACATGAATTATTTGGCCTTGCTAGAGAGTTTTCCTTTTTTGTGTTTCTGAAGATGCCGTCAGTGAATGGCAGTCCCTCACACCGACACCCCGCTGAGCAAACACAGTAGCGCACTCAGCTGCAGCAGTGCATGCCAACCCAAACAATGCATCCATGTCTGAGGATGGACAGAGAGCAGCGCAGGGAGGGACCCGGAGAGATGGGGACGGCAGGATGCCGGTGACTCACATCGGAAACAATTAGAGTCTATTGCTTGGCTTGTAAAAATCCCTGAGTTCGCTACGCTTATCAAAAATGTCTGGCTAAGTGAGGAAACTGCTGACAGCAGCGGCTGAGGCTTTGCGAAGAGATCAGATCACACACAATGTGCTGAGAATACTACGACTTACTGGAAGGGATTCACCAACATCTGCAGGGATTGCCAGGGCAAAATATCAGACAAATTATAAGCATGCAGGAGAAAATGCCTCCCAAATTTTCCAATAATGCTAATAAAAAAAAAAAAGTGAGAAATAATAAGAAGTTTCATCCCTATTCCCTGTCTATAAAGTAGCAAGCATCAACTAGGGTTCCTCCAAAGGTTGCTATGAGTTCCTGACTCTCAGATAAGTTCCCACTGACATCAAGAATCTTTTTGGCTAAAGGGGGGCATTCTTCCTACTGACCAGTGATGAAAGGGACATTCTCTTTACTGGACATCAATGTAAGAGCCATCGTTTCTGCTGCATCAATGTAAGGGACATTCTTCCTAATGACCACCAATGGAAGGAGAGTCAATCCTACTGGTCACCAGTGTAAAGGGCATTCTTCCCAATGATCACCAATGTAAGGAACGTTCTTCTCACTGATCACCAATGTAAGGGACGTTCTTCCCACTGACCACCAATGCAGTGGGCGTTCTTCCCACAGACCCCCCAATGTAAAGAGCATTCTTCCCACTGAACACCAATAAAGTATTATTCTTCCCACCGACCAATGTAAGGGACATTCTTTCCACCGACCCAATGTAAGGGACATTCTTCCCACCGACCAATGTAAGGGACATTCTTCCCACCGACCAATGTAAGGGACATTCTTCCCACCGACCAATGTAAGGAACATTCTTCCCACCGACCAATGTAAGGGACATTCTTCCCACCGACCAATGTAAGGGACATTCTTCCCACCGACCAATGTAAGGGACATTCTTCCCACCGACCAATGTAAGGGACATTCTTCCCACCGACCAATGTAAGGAACATTCTTCCCACCGACCAATGTAAGGGACATTCTTCCCACCGACCAATGTAAGGGACATTCTTCCCACCGACCAATGTAAGGGACATTCTTCCCACCGACCAATGTAAGGGACAGTCTTCCCACCGACCAATGTAAGGACAATTGTTCCTGCTGGCTATTTGGCTATTCTTTTCAGTGACCACCTGTCAAGGACTACGGGTCACGCCGCGGCGCACAGGTCTGCGCATGCGCAGATTGCCTAGGCGCACTAATGTGCAGGCACTAGGACCTGGGCATCCGGGGCGGCAATTGCGGGCGCGCGCCTGGCACCAATGACGGTGCAGGGCGCACTATTTAAACTGGCCAGGCGGTGATCAGGTTGCCGCAAGGTCTAGTTCCTGTACCTGAGTTCTGAAGTGTGTTCCTGTTGCCGATCCTGCTTGTCCTGATAGTTGTTGACCTTCTCCTGCTCTGACCCCCGACTCGTCCCTGACTACTCTTCTGCCTGCTGCTTATACTATTATTGGACCTCCCGTTGCTGAACCTTGGCTTGTGACCCGGCTATTCTCTGTCTACTGCTTGGTACCTACCTGCCCCCACTGTTACCGACCCGGCTAGTCTGACTACGCTTACTCCTGACTGTCATGCATCCATCCCGCTGGGGATCTGGACCTGTCAGCCCCTTCACATCAGGCTCACCCCTGGCACATACCCTCTACCACAGTTGGGGGCACTCAGGGGTCACGACCTGGTTTCAGTCTTGCACCAAGTCCATCCCTACCATCAGGGGCTCTGGTGAAAAGGCAGACTGGGACTTAGACTCCGCGTCCTGGGGAATCTCATTCTGTGGATCACTAGAGATCCCGCTGGGCGGTGCCTAACACCACCAATGTAAGGAGCATTCTTCCCACTGACGACCAACATAAAGGACATTCTTCCCACTTACCACCAACGTAAGGGACATTCTTCCCACTGACCACCAACATAAGGGACATTCTTCCTACTGACCACAAACATAAGGGATATTCTTCCCACTGACCAATGGAAGGAGCAATTTTCCCACTGATGACCAACGTAAAGGACATTCTTCCCACTGACCACCAACATATGGGACATTCTTCCCACTGACCAACGTAAGGAGCATTCTTCCCACTGACCACCAATGTAAGGGACATCCTTCCCACTGACCATAATGTAAGAGACTTTCTTCCCACTGATCACCAATGTAAGGGACATTCTTCCCACTGACCACCAATGTAAAGAACATTCCTCCCACTGACCAGAGTAACATGTCCCTTTTCTCAATTACCACCAAAAAATGGGGTCCTTTACCACCTGACCAACGTAAGCGGGCACTACACTCACCACTAACTAACTACCAGTGTAAGCAGAAGTGTTTAAACAGACCATCAATGTAAGGAGCTCTTCTCCATGGACCACCATGTGAGGGAACACTACAATTTTCACTGTCTACATTTTTTTTCTAGACTTTTTATTTGTCTTATGTTATTACCACCGAAAACAATTTTGAAAAATAGAGCACCCCTGGGTGTCACATGCATGCCACATTCCTTGTTATTTTATTTATTTTTATATCTCAACTTACTGTTCACACTAATATGCCAGTAATTATTGGCAGGTGTTTCTCGAGACCTGAAAGTTATTTCAAAGGTTCTTTTCTGTTTATACTGTTGCAAAAAAGGGTGAAAGTAGCATTAGAAAATGAGTGCAATCAGCGAGGTCCTCACATCTCTTTATTTCTCACCCAAGGAGCCTCAGAAGACCCTAAACCTGGGACCTTCTAATATGCAAATATGAATTTCCACCAGGAATTGTTTAGACATGCCCACTCTTGTACCTTTTTATTGGCCAGGGATTTTCCCCAAAACATTAAGAAGTCAATCATAAGGCCAAGATGGTGGTGGGCCAGGGGCGGACTGACCATTTGGAAACTCGGGCACTGCCCGAGGGCCCGGGGTCAGTAGGGGGCCCCGTGAGATACCCCCTGGTACCTTTTTCATAGGCTTTTTTGAGTTTGGGCAAGGACATAGGGGCCCCATGATCCCCTATTGCCTGGGGGCCCCATGAGTTGTCTGTCAGTCCATCCCTGTGGTGGGCCAAACACTGGATGGCAGTTGACCATACATGGATAAATCTGGCTGGACCCTGCAGGGCAAATCAACAGGCTTGCTTCAATTTCCCCTCCCCAAATGTGTCTACTAACTTTTTCTTGGCTCCCCTTCCACTCAGATCAATTGCTGTGAGTGCAAAAATATACCTGCTACTTTCAAGTATGGAGGAGCATGTGACAGCATTGAACCAATCATCACATGGGAAGAGTCCATGGCTGTGTATATTGCTAGGACTTGAACAATCTGTAGCTTCCTTGGCTTCTCGGCCACTCTACTTAGGCTTCCAGGAGTGAAATGGACCAATCACCACCTAGGACAAATCCATAGCCCTGTGTAAGCTCTGACTTGAGCAACCGGTAGCTTACACAAAGCGCTTTTCATGCTTCTGACAGCCAAACGGAGCAGCGAAGGAGTGAAAGAAAAGCGAATATATGCTATATATGCTACTGTGAACTGTGGAATTAAAGCAAACCATTTACCTGTTGCTTTACCCTGTAGGGCAGGGGCGCTCAACCTTCTGAAGAGCGAGGGCCATTTCAGCGATTTGGTATCTAGTCATGCGCCACAATGAAGTGAAATAGTTCAGTTCAAATGTTTTATTTTGAATAGCATAAGGAACGTTTTCCTCCTGCAGCCGCTGAATGCCGGCGGGAGGGAGAGGAGGAGAAGCCGTCTTTCAGCAGTTGCAGGAGGAAAATGGAGAGGGTCAACTCCTGTATATGCTACCCTTGCTGCCCCTCCTGTCCAAGTGTAAGAAAGCATGTAACAGAGAGGCTGCACGAGCCCCCTGGAGCATAGGGCATGGTCACCATTGCGACCCCTGATGCTACAACAGTGGTTGGGTGGGTATGGGAAAAAACAACCCCCCCCCCCAACTGCAAATGTAGATACATCTTAACTGTCATGAGCCCCCCATAAGGCTGCTTTCATACTGATGTGCTTCAGTTTACCCACACGTGGGTGCAGCGCAGTGCATCTATGGCTTTCCTGCAACTTAGCTGCGCTTTGCCATAGACTTCTATTATATCTTGTGGTGTGGTGCATCAAAACTCCTGCATCAGTTTGAGAGGTCGAGGGCTACGCGGGCCACAGGTTGAGCACCTCTGCTGTGGGTTTACTTTGAGGGCCAGTTTACATGTGTGGAGGGGGCAGTAAAACCAGGTGGTTAAGCTGGGTGTGGGTCACTTTGCAGTGGATCGCCAGTCCTTGCTGCACATCTGAATGAGCCATAACAGTACACTGTAATTGTAAAAAAAAAAAAGCTTTACTGTCATTCAGTACTGAATAACATTACCTACAACCTCTACTACAACATGACCTATTTAGATACAGTGACCGGTGCCAAGTTCATTAAAAGAAGTGGAGCTTTATAATCACCCATCTAAAAGGCTGACACCCTCAACAGAAAAAGATCCTTACAGCTTAGGATTTTCTGCAGGGTGACAGGTGCCCTTTAAAATCGCCATCCCTGCTCACCTGTGAAGCTCATGTACTTCTGGCTGTTGGTGCTTTTCTTGGAATTTAAAAATTCTAGGGCGTCCAGCACTGCCTGCGGGTTCTTCTTCTGCTCTTGTTTGGTGATGTTGGAGGTTTGCAGTAATCGCGCCCATTGCTCCGGCATACCCTGCACAGAGATAGAATGGAAAAGGCAAGTGAGCAGCACACAAGGAGACCACCAAATAGGTCTATGAATATGGAACATATACAACACCCACTTACATTTCACACATTTTGGGTATTAAATGTCTAGGTGTGTGACGGGAGTGACTTTTGGGGGTGGGGGGACCTCTGTATCATCTTCCCAAATTCTTATGTTTATGTGACCCTGTGCCTGTTAGGGTACAGGGTGTGTATGTGAATGTCTATTGTGTATTGGTGTGTCGTCCTTTGTTCTCGGCCACATGGCTGTCTATTGTCCTTTTGCCATGTGCTGCCCCATTGTTCTGTGTCTTGGTTGGATGGGGAGGGGTGATGTTGTGTTTCCTGTAGCCCTCCCCACTGATGGGGTGGGCTGATGATGTGTTTCCTGTTCCTGGTTGCGTTTTCCCGCCCTGTGTATATAACTTGTTGTGTGTGTAAAATAAAGTAGTTGACTTCCTGTTTTAAGAAGAGTCGGGTGCTGTCTATTTCCTGAGGGATTTCAAGGGTGTGGTCCGTGGATGGTGTTCGGACAGGGAAGCTGCGGTATAACGGAATATACGCAAGTGTGGTCTGGGGTCCAGTTCCGTTACAAAGTGAATTAAGCAGGTAGTATAATGCAGGCTTTCATGTTATGGCATCAGGGTGGGCTCTGTCATTATACCATTATTATATTGGGGCAGCAGTGGCTAAATGGTTAGCACTTCCACCTGGCAGTACTCGGGTCGTTGGTTCAAATCCCAACCACGGCACCACCTGCCTGGAGTTTGCATGTTCTCCCTGTGCCTCTGTGGGTTTCCTCCAGGTACTTCCATTTCCTCCCACACTCCAAAGACATGCTGTTAGGTGAATTGGATCCTGTCTAAATTGCCCTAGTATGTGTACATATGAATGTGAGTTAGGGACCTTAGATTGTACGCCACTTGAGGGTTAGGACTGATGTGAATGTACAATATATATGTAAAGCGTTGCGTAAATTGACGGCGCTATATAAGTACCTGAAATAAATAATAAATACCCGTAGTAGCTTTCAGTCCCCCCATGTGCCACACCATGCTACAGATGTGTCAACTTAGGACAACAGCTTACAGGGGGATAATTAAATGGCGTACGCCCAGGGCCAGTGCTAGACTATTTTGCTCCCTAGACAAGACCAGCTATTTGGGCCCTCCCCCCAAAAAAAAACAAAAAAAAAAACCTAAAGTTTTAAAAACAGTAGAAAATATTAAATCAACAAAACACGAAACTGCTACATTTCTTTTAATTTGCAAAAATAAGATGCCACCAGCACCAATATTAAAGACAAAGTCTGTGTCACTGATGGACTGTCTCTGTGGCTGGCAGTGGCAGGGTGACAGTTGCAGTGAGTGGAGGATGATGGCTCCACACTCTGACAGATCCCAGGCAATGGGGGGGGAGATAAAACACTGACAACAGACAGCTGAACTGAGCGATCCCACACGGTGACAGATCTGACACAACACACCACCACCAACTCTGACACAGATCAGCAGGCACTAGAAGAGCAGGCTGTGGGATGGTGATGATGTCATCACTCACTGACACATTGCACATGTGATGGATGTCCGGCTGACCAGGTCACACTCACACAGACATGGGACATCAGAGTCAGACATTACCTTCCTCCACAGGCGCAGCTTCGCCTCCGCTGAAGAATGGGAAAAGAAGGGCTGGAACTCCACAGTGATCAGCAGCCGCCAGCCGGCTTGCAGTAAGGGACTGAGTCTGAGAGTAACACTGGAAGGAGCTGCAGCTCAGCTGCTACACTGGCCTCAGACACTCAGCATTTTCCTCTGTCCTTTATTCCTCCCCTCTACCGCCCCTCCTCTCAGCTAAAGGATCATTCATGACATGGTGGCATCCCACACAGAGAGAGTGCCGGCCTGAGCTGTGCCCAGGCGCCCCTAGGTGGCAGCGCGCCCTAAGAGGCTGCCTAGTTTTCCTAGTGGAAGCACCGGCTCTGCATACACCATCTAAAATAGTGCTTGGCTTAACTGAATAAGAGGCTGATGAAGTTGCTGCAGGAATATGCAGGTAGCATTTTGTATGTGTCCTGCGCTTTTAGGGCTCATTCACACTGGCAGCAGAGTTTACCACCCCTCAAAAAAGTAATGTCAGCGCTTGAATGCCGTTATTTTGATCAGATCCCACCAAGGATTCCGTACTTCAGTACGGTTGGCATGCAGTTACAACAGTCCCTTTTGGCTTTAATGGGCACATATAACAAGCAATGAGTAAGGCCATTACTGCCTGAAACGCGTGGGCACTGTTGCATGTACGGTTTTTACCCCATTGTTTAACAAAGAAGACTGTGCAAGCCCAAGGACAAGTGATGACTATTACATTTAGTCGGCGAGCAGCTCCACCTGCCAAATGTGACACGTTGGGTTTACACACATTGCAAATTGAAACATCACAGAAATGTGTACAGATCTGAGTGGCTACTGTGTTACTTTGTAGAGGGCAGTAAAAAGGCGGATCAGCCGCCTGATTTTACCATTCTTTTGCCACCCATGTGAGCTTGAAGAGGTGAAGGGAAAAAAAAAATACAAAAAAAAAAAAAAGAAAACCAATGCAGCCACTACATCGAAGGATTGAGAATGTGTGGAAGGCCGGTGGGGGTGACAAAGTTTCGGCACTTCCAGAAGTGTCAGAGTTTTGCCCAAGCAGAATAGTCTGGCATGTAGGGGGACTGAAAGCTAGTGCAGGTACATGCAGGCATTTCTAGGTACCTGCAATGTGCACAATGTTGACATGTGAGAGAAATTACTGGATGGAAATTACTGGACGGACGTGAAACTTGAGCCAACCCCGCTTACCATTGGTGGTCGCCATCGACACCTTCCTGGCAGGATAGCTCAGGTGGGCTTGGACAAGTATCAGAACAAACCTGAGCTCATTCCTGCTCAAACCTGGTCTGTTACATCCCATACACTCCTATTGGACCGTCATTCTCATGGGCAGCTTCAGTAGCCTATGAGAATGTGTGGAAGGCAGGTGGGGGTGACAACGTTTTGGCACTTCCAGAAGTGTCAGAGTTTTGCCCAAGCAGAACAGTCTGGCATGTAGGAAGGCTGAAAGGTACATGCAGGCATCTCTAGGTGCCTGCAATGCGCACAATGTGAGAGAAAATTACTGGAAGGCTGTGAAACTTGAGCCGAGAACTTCCCTTGTATCTCGAAAGCGCAAATCAATAATGGAAATGAATAATGAAGGGGAGCTTTGCCTCCTTGACTTTCAAAACTGACAGCAAACAGGCAAAGCAGCTAAATTTCCAAAGCAAGACCCGTGAACAAGAGCCCTGGTGTTAAATGAGGCGGATGCGGAGGCTGGAAAGGTGTCGGAGTGGAGGAGCTTGGAGAGAAACACAACATATGTCAGCTTTGTTTACAGCACAAAGGGGCCCGCTTCTGCCAGGCAGAGAGAGAGACGCAGTTCACAAGACAATGACAACACTGGGGTCTATTGAACTGCAGATGACACGGCTCCAAAATGTTTCCATCAGTACTTCAAGGGAAAGCATTATTTTTAAAAGATTTATTTGGTTTCAAAAATGATCAACTTAACCTTTCAGACCCAGAGGTCATTGAGGCACAGAGGCCAAGGCGAAAATTGGCAGCCGCAGTATGTATTCCTTAATGTGGCTATAATGCTTTGGCTACTTTGCATACTATATCCCACATGGAAGAAAAATATATTTGAAATATATTTTAAAAATATTCTTCCCAAATATACTGACATATATTTGAAATGCTACAATTTCGGCCATATATCAATATATTTCAAAATATATTTCATATATATATATATATTATACTGCATGTTGAAATGCGTTTTTATTACAAAATATATGAAAAATACATTTCAAATATACTGTATATCTTTTAAAAATACAAATCTACATTTTTGGAATGCATTTACAAATATATGTAAAAATATATGTTAAAATGACTTTTTTTATATGTTAAAAAAAATCTGAATAGATTAAAAAAATATATATTTTTAAAAATATATTCTTCAGATTTTTTATTTAAACATATTATTTATATATTTTGTAAGAAAAACGCATTTGTGTGTGTGGTATATATATATATATATACATATAAATGCTACATATATATATATACACACATACATACATATATATATATATATATATATATATATATACATATATATACACATATACACATACACATATATATATATATATATATATATATATATATACACATACACACACACACACACATATATACACATATATATATATACATACACACACAAACACACACATACATACACTGCATGTTGAAATGCATTTTTGTTACAAAATATATGAATAATATGATTAAATAAAAAATCTGAAGAATATATTTTTAATAATATATTTTTTTAAATCTATTCTTATGATTTTTTTTTTAACATATAAAAAAAGTCATTTTAACATTTATTTTTACATATATTTGTAAATGCATTCCAAAAATGTAGAATTGTATTTTTAAAAGACATACAGTATATTTGAAATGTATATATATATATATTTAACTGAAATATATTTTGAAATATATTGAATATGGCCAAAATTGTAGCATTTCAAATATATGGCAATATATTTGGTAAGAATATTTTTAAAATATATTTCAAATATAATTTTTCTTCCATGTGGGATATAGTATGCAAAGTAGCCAAAGAATTATAGTCACATTGACGTTTTCTTCCATATGGGATACTACGTACCAGGGGCGGACTGACAACTCATGGGGCCCCCAGGCAATAGGGGATCATGGGGCCCCTGTGTCCTCCACACCCAAAAAAGCCTATGCAAAAGCCAATGAAAGGTACCAGGGGCATCTCATGGGGCCCCCTACTGACCCTGGGCCCTCGGGCAGTGCCCGAGTGCTCTAATAGTCAGTCTGCCCCTGCTACATACTAATATCATTTTTACATAATTTTTAAGGGCATATAGAGATTTCGTTTGGTATAATGTTTTAATAAATGTGTTTTTACTATAGGATGTCACATTTAAAAAATTTTTTTTTTAATGCTATAATTGTAATAAAACAAATGAAGTACTAAAAAGAGGCAAATTACCACGTACAAGCAGCAGTGGCTTCTGCAAGCAAAATCATGAATGAAATCTTGTGCTTGCATGTGATTATCATAGAGTCAAAGAGAACATAGGGATCACTTGAATGGGAAGCATTCTGGTTTCCGATTGTTATTGGGGGGGAAAGAGCTGCTAGGAACAGTCAGATTTGAGAGCCAGCAGCCACACAAGGTGTAATCCGCTAGCTGTCACAGTGAAGAAGTTCACGAAAGCATTTTGAACACATGGTGTCCAGCTGATGGACGTTATACAGATCGTGGTCGGTAGGCACAAAAAATTTTATCAGTAAGTCTTAATTTTGTATCCTGCTTGGTAAAGTTGTATAATCGTTGTGTCTTAGGACTCATGTACACCAGCAACTGCTAAATTCCAGGTTAGGAGCTTTAGGCATTTTTTTGCTAAAGCTCCTAAAACTCAACTCCATAAAAGCCTATGTGTCCATGTACACATAGGCTTTTAGCAGCGTTTAGGAGCTGCTGCAGTTACGTGAGGTTAAACCTCCCTCTTCTAAATGCAGAAGAATTGCTTTCAGGATAGAAATGTTTTGACCGCCAGCCACGAGAAAACAGGCAACGGTACCGTGGTTGCCGCGTTTGCGTTTTCCTGCAGCTGGCGGTCAGGGTAGGCTCATGTACATGGAGCCTTACCCTCAATGAAGGTCTCTGGTTTGAATCTGAGACTGTAAGCAGTGCACTATGTAGCTTAAAAGCGGAACTAAACTCCCCAAAAAGCCCCCACCATCCAGTGATGCTACAGTTACATCCCTTGCTAGCTGCTTTCATCTGCTCCCCGGGCTTTACCTGTGTGCCAGGTTTTCTGCCTTTCAACTAACCAAAAGGGATGATGCAATCTTGCTCATGCGCATGGGAGTCAATCATTCCAGCAGAACCACAGTGTGACAGGAATGCACGCTGAGCTGTGCATGTGCCCCTTCGTCAGGGGAAGGCAACGAGGCCCCTTCGTCAGGGGAAGGCAACGAGGCCCCTTCGTCAGGGGAAGGCAACGAGGCCCCTTCGTTCGTCAGGGGAAGGCAACGAGGCCCCTTCGTCAGGGGAAGGCAACGAGGCCCCTTCGTCAGGGGAAGGGCCCCTTCAACGAGGCCCCTTCGTCAGGGGAAGGCAACGAGGCCCCTTCGTCAGGGGAAGGCAACGAGGCCCCTTTGTCAGGGGAAGGCAACGAGGCCCCTCCGTCAGGGAACGCAACGAGGCCCCTCCGTCAGGGAACGCAACGAGGCCCCTCCGTCAGGGAACGCAACGAGGCCCCCCTCCGTCAGGGAACGCAACGAGCCACCTTCAGCAGGGAACGCAACGAGCCACCTTCGTCAGGGAACGCAACGAGCCACCTTCGTCAGGGAACGCAACGAGCCACCTTCGGCAGGGAACGCAAACGAGCCACCTTCGGCAGGGAACGCAACGAGCCACCTTCGGCAGGGAACGCAACGAGCCACCTTCGGCAGGGAACGCAACGAGCCACCTTCGGCAGGGAACGCAACGAGCCACCTTCGGCAGGGAACGCAACGAGCCACCTTCGGCAGGGAACGCAACGAGCCACCTTCGGCACGGAACGCAACGAGCCACCTTCTTCAGGGAACGCAACGAGCCACCTTCGTCAGGGAACGCAACGAGCCACCTTCGTCAGGGAACGCAACGAGCCACCTTCGTCAGGGAACGCAATAAGGACCCTTCATCAGGGAGCACAATAAGGACCCTGCTCCAAGCATCTGATACGACCCTTTTGTTAGGCACATGATGAGGCCCCTTCATGGCTCCAAAACTTTGCACTAAGATGTGATCTTTGAATACAAGATTTGACTGCAAACAATACATTTTACCTACTTCACAGAGAGGGGGAAATTGTTTCACTGAGACTACTGTGACATTTATCTAAGGTTTCCTAAAGATCTTCAACTCTATAAGAACATGCCAAAAATGATACTTATTTTCATAATGCGTTCTAACTTACAGTGAATTCTCCAGTGACAGGATTGTATCCAACATGAATGGGGTGTTCAAAGTTCCAGGGCTTAGAAATCTTCGGTCTTTCTCTCTTCTCATCTTTCTTTTTAACGCCTGAAAAGTAAAAAAAAAAAATATTTGTTTGCCCAGGTGCCCTTCATTTCACAGCGGATTTTGTATAAAGCTAAATTCCATCAAGCGGTTAAATACACAGATGAAATGCATATAAGGAATCAGTTTTACCTGCCAAAGGATTTTCATTTCTGTCTACACTGTCATGAATTGGAGTTCCACAGCTCATTGTTCCATCAATGTCAATGGAATCCAATTACAAGTTTATTACGAGAATGTGCTTGTTACGAAAACCCTAGATCATCACTTCCTGGAAAACACGCCATGATGGCTGACTTCATGGGGCTCTCTAGGAGATGTTATGCTCAAGCAGGGGCAGACTGACCATTTGGAAACTCGGGCACTGCCCGAGGGCCCAGGGTCAGTAAGGAGCCCCATGAGATGCCCCTGGTACCTTTTTCATAGGTTTTTTTGAGTTTGGGCAAGGACAAAGGGGCCCCATGATCCCCTATTGCCCAGGGGCCCCATGAGTTGTCAGTCCGTCCCTGTGCTCAAGTATATCTTCAGGTGTTGCCCAAACATTAGTCACTTTAGGAATAGAGTATTAGCTAGTCTACACAGTCCTTGGACACCCAATACCCAAAAACTCACTTGAAGTCCTTCACAAAAATCCTGTTGAACTATGAAAGCATTTCCTTAAGCTGTTAAATATATCTCGTCACTGATGCAAAATAGTCACACCATAGAGATCTACAACACTGGACTTCACAGCATTCGAAAACGGTTTTAGTGGACGATGATCAGTAAAACACTTTCTGCAGTCCTTAGGGCTCTATTTAAAATTTTACCAAAATCTGGTCCGCCAAATTTTTTTTTACCAAAAAGCCTTGATAAGTCTTTACTTATCACTTAGATGTAAGCTCAAATTTCTTACAAAACATTGCCTTTCCCTAATACTCATTTGTAATGTTACCTCCAGGCTTCATACTCCATAAGCCTCATCTACCTTCTCCCCCTCTGATAAGACCCTTTTGTTAGGCACATGATGAGGCCCCTTCATGGCTCCAAAACTTTGCACTAAGATGTGATCTTTGAATACAAGATTTGACTGCAAACAAGACATTTTACCTACTTCACATAGAGAGGGGGGGTATTGTTTCACTGAAACTACTGCGACATTCTACCTTCTCCCCCTCTAATAAGACCCTTTTGTTAGGCACATGATGAGGCTCCTTCATGGCTCCAAAACTTTGCACTAAAATGTGTTGCAGCATAGAAATCTTCAACACTGGACTTCACAGCATTCAAAAACAGTTTTAAGTGGACGCTGATCAATAAAACATTTTCTGGAGTCCTTAGGGGCTCTATTCCAAATTTTACCAAAATTTGGTCTCCCAAATTTTTTTTTTTATCAAAAAGACTGATAAGTCTTTACTAATCATCTAGATGTAAGCTCAGATTTCTTACTAAACATTGCTTTTCCCTAATACCCATTTGTAATGCTACCCCCAGGCTTCATACTCCACAAGCCTCATATACCTTCTCTCCCTCCAATAAGACCCTTTTGTGAGACACATGATGAGGCCCCTTCACGACTTCAAAACTTTGCACGAAGATGTATTGCATCATAGAGATCTTCAACACTGGACTTCACAGCATTCAAAAACGTTTTTTAGTGGACGCTGATCAATAAAACACTTTCTGCAGTCCTTAGGGGCTCTATTCCAAATTTTACCAAAATTTGGTCTCCCAAATTTTTTTTATCAAAAAGACTGATAAGTCTTTACTAATCATCTAGATGTAAGCTCAGATTTCTTACTAAACATTGCCTTTCCCTAATACCCATTTGTAATGCTACCCCCAGGCTTCATACTCCACAAGCCTCATACACCTTCTCCCCCTCTTCTCTCCATACTCCACCGCAACAGGTTTCCCCATGCCACAAACATGCTCTATCTTTATCTGTTCAAAGCTCTTGCTACACAACCACAAATTTAGCATTTTTGTACCAAACGCAGACATTTAGATGCGCCCGTGACATTGTGGAATACACAATACAAACTATACACACTATCACTCTTGCATAGAAATAGCCAATGCCTCATACTCTATTGAGCTATTTACAGTTCCCTGAAGTCCATCCCAACTCAGCTAGACTTCTGTTGAACCCTAGGGTTCCTTCAGGGTTTGCAAGGGGTGCCTGATTGACCCCCTCCCCTACCCCATTTGATAGTGCCTGCATATTTCTGGGGCCAACTCTACTTGACAGAGCCAGCTGCATGACATCAATGATTTTTAGCTGTTTGTAAGGGGGAGATTTCTGACCACTACTCTGAAGGTGGCCATAGATGGATCAAATCTCAGCTGGTCCCTTCTGAACCATCTATGAGCAGGCTGATTGTACCCACGTCAATCCATCGGTCGACTTGGGTACATCCAGCATGTCAGATTTTAAGCATGCGATTATTGCCAATGGCTATAACTGTTAGCAGTAATCTTTGTGTTCTCCCGATAGAGATGGCTCCCCACCGAGAAAGCACAGTAGCTCCAAGGGAGGGAATCAAGTGATTTCCTTTACTGCAACCCATGGTTGTAATATAGTAAATTACAAAATCTTTGGCCTGCCTTAGGGCAGCATTCTTTCTACTGCCTACCAATGTAAGGAGCATTTTCCCTTGGACCCCACCATGATTTGGTTTTAGTATTGGTTACCTGAAACCAAAAAAATAATTTCAAAGGTTCCCCTAAGTTAAGATGGTTGAGTAAGGCTGCTTTAGTCTCGTTCACACTATTACAACCTGAAAGTCGTAAGACTTACAGTGCGAATTTGCCAAGCGACTCGAGTACTACTTTGAAACAACTCTGAAGCGACAGTCAGGGAATGCCTGGGTAATCTACTTGTCATGTTGGATCCAAATCACATCAATATAGATGAGGATCCAACTTAGAGGCAACTTCCATTAAAGTCAATGGGCACAAGTCGGATAGAAGCAGGGGCGGACTGACCATTTGGAAACTCGGGCACTGCCCGAGGGCCCGGGGTCAGTAGGGGGCCCCATGAGATGCCCCTGGTACCTTGCCCCTGGTACCTCATAGGCTTTTTTGAGTTTGGGCAAGGACACAGGGGCCACATGATCCCCTATTGCCCGGGGGCCCCATGAGTTGTCAGTCCACCCCTGGATAGAAGTCTCCTTGAAGTAGTACAGGAACCTTTTCTAATGTTGCAGCGACTTCAGTAGCGTCAATTAAGATGGCTCTCATTGACTAACACGGGACTCCATTGCATGCGACTTGGGGTCTCACAAGTCGGATCCCAATTCGCGGCAGTGTGAACCAAGCTTTAGTCTGAAGTTTACTTCTTGATTTTAATGTATCACTCACATTTTCATTCAAACTCAAAATAAAAACACTGAAGTTGAGAGTAGGAGAACGAAGAGAGAGACAGAGGCACTGTCACATGGGTGGGTGTGCTCTGCTGCATCTTAATAGGAATTCTGCTCTATTGGCTATTTATATTTTAAAGCATAGGTCCAATTTAAAGTGAATCTACACTAAAGAACATAAATATATCACAGCTTACCCCATCTTAGATATGGTGACTGCTTTAGTTTCCTTTTTTTTCCAGTCTTTTCCCCCCCCCCCCTTTATTTTCACTTGGTGACCTTGCCAGTAACACACTTCCTGTGATGGTGAGTGTGGGTGACAACGCTCACTGACTGTACAGTACCTATAATAGGGTGACCAGATGTCCTCAGTTTCCCTGGACTGTCCCCCAAAAAAATTATCCTTGATTTCATCCCATTAAAAGGAATGTGTCTTGGATTTCTTTCCAACTTTAATAATGGCATCCCCAGCCCGAATGACTATAGTTTAGGCCATCTTAGCAACATTTCTGTGATTGGCCTGGAACTGGAGGAGGGAGGGGAGGGGGGAGAGTCTTTTCTTAGCGGTGCTGGGGGTTACTGATGATGTCACAAGCCTTTATTACGTGATCTTCCCAGCCCCTCCCCTCTCAGGTTGTTCAGATTTAATTGCGAGAGGCAGGGGCGGACTGACCATTTGGAAACTCGGGCACTGCTCGAGGGCCCGGGGTCAGTAGGGGGCCCCATGAGATGCCCCTGGTACCTTTTTCATAGGTTTTTTTGAGTTTGGGCAAGGACACAGGGGCCCCATGATCTCCAATTGCCCGGGGGCCCCATGAGTTGTCAGTCCGCCCCTGGCGGGAGGTAATACTGTGGATTGTCACCTTGCCCTTGCTCGTGATGGTGACCTGCAGCGCCCATCTGCGCGCCTGCACTCTTGAACTAGAACAAAGTAGGCTCAGGTGTCATTAAACCACACCCCTTTAAGCCCCACCCACTACCTGCCCAATTTCATCACACCCAACATTGCAGCTGCTATTATCCCCACCTCCTGCTTCAAAAGTGGGCGTGGCCAGTAAGGTGTCTCCAAATTTCATTTTGATCATCTGGTCACCGTAACCTATGAAGAAGCAGCATTGTCACCCGGAGAGAGAAAGTGTTTTCCCAGCTCCATAAAGTACGAGGTAGGTGTTCACCGGGCTAATAAAAAGGAATGTACAGAGAGAAGACTGCCACTGATACGGTGAACAGCTCATGCCCAACCCTTCCTTATCGCTCTGACTTCACTCCAATGTTCAGCCGAGTAAAGAAATCATACAAGAAAAATGAGCCCACGAGCACAATGACGGAAACGGGAGGATTTTTTTTTAAAAAGACATATAGAGAGGTGAGATTGTCTTGACCCATTTCCCTTTATAGCCTTTTAAGTGCTACAGTGGGAAATGCGTCAAGGTGTCATCACTGCTGTATGTGTTTGTTGGCTTAACCACCTCTTTCCTTCATTGCACACGTGAACTCCACACTCCATGCAGCTTTAACCGCTTCCATACCGGGCACTTTTACCCCCTTCCTGCCCAGGCCATTTTTCAGGTTTCAGCGCTCTCACACTTTGAATGGCCTATTGCGCGGTCATACAACATTGTACCCAAACTAAAATTTTATCATTTTCTTCACACAACT